GCAAGCCGTGTACCAACTTCTGAACACCTGTGTGAGCCGCGTACCAACTTCTGAACACCTGTGCGAGCCGTGTACCAACTTCTGAACACCTGTGCGAGCCATGTACCAACTTCTGAACACCTGTGTGAGCCGTGTACCAACTTCTGAACACGTGCGTGAGCCATGTGCTAACTTCGGAACACCTGTGCCACTTCTCTGGCCTCGGTGACTAGGAAGTGATAAAAATGCTATCAGATAAGATGAATACACCTTGGGCAGCCTTATCAGAATCCTATACGTAAGTAAACCAATAGCCAACATTATTGTGAGATGGTAAGACTGCTAATTCAATGTAACTTGTTTTTTAATGTTACTCTTAAATGACATCAACATATCTCAGTAAATAAACCAATTAATGAAGAATACTACAAATAGGAAACAAATCAAACTATTATCAATTGATGAATAAACTGTGATATACCCATTGGTGTATGTGTATGTGTGCATTGTGTACACATACATGTCAAAACTTATCAGACTACAAATGTGCTACTTTTCTTTGTGGTACTGGGAGCTGAACCCAGGGACTCGTGTATCAAACTATATTTTAACACACGCAGCATCCTGTACCCATATTACCCCTCAACAGAGCTGAGCAAAGAATGTGGTGAACAATTAAAATCTAACGTGGCCCAAAGCAACCCACCTGCAGCCTCCAGTCTGTGCCTATTCCTGAACTCCTGCGGTTCGGAACACCATTCTGGGTCCAGTAACCCTAGCCTATGAATTCAGAGTCCTCCAATATGCCTCCTCCATCCTGGGATAGCCCCATCTGACACTTTCTATAGTTGCTGCCCTGTCCCTGAGGCTCTTATGCCAAGCAGCTCTGGGCTTTTCGGAGGACAGGGCTTCCTGGTGTCACTGGGACCTACCCCCCTGCAGGAGACAGTGTCCCTGGCCTCCACATCTGTCTCCCCCTCAACTCTGCGGTCCTGCAGGCAGAGACTACTTCTCACCCCAAGCCCACATGTCCCTGATGCAGCTCCCAGCCCTTGGGAAGACAAATGTACTGCACTGGTTGTATACTTCATTCTGAAAACAGCTTTACCTCACATACATGCAAGGGTGTGTGAAGATATTAAAATAATTACAATTGCTAATACTTAAAATACCAAGATTCCCAGAGGCACTGGGTGGTTCTAATGAAATAAGAAAGCTTTAAATGTGGAACTGGAGGGGCTGGGGAATTAGCTCAGCAGTCCAACACTCGCCTAGCAAGCTGGAAGCCTTGGGTTCGGCCCTCAGAGCCAAAAACAAACCAAAAAACCGTAGGACTGGGTAAGTCCTTGATCAGACTCCTCCACCTGTTCCTGTGCAGTGGCGCTTTCAAACGGTGCTTGTGAGGCACCTTACCCAGTCCGCATTCTTCAGTTCTTCCAGGTCAGCACGGGACTCATCACTCTGGTCCATTTCCTGGATCCTCTTAAGGTTCTGCCAGAAAAACAAAAAGAAAACAGGCATGAAAACATTCTTACTCAAAATGAGCCGGAGTGGAAACCCCAGCGGGGATCTGCAGGGTGAACATACGTATCACAACAGCATGCAGCAACTTCGAAACCACCACCAGGAATTCGGAGGCAGACTAGCTCCGGGGCTGGGCCCTGCCCGAGATCGCTCCCAGAATACCAGCCCTGACCTCAGGTGGCTTGGGGGTTTCGATGGGCTGACCAGGCGGAGCAGCTTGTTCCCTGGGGCTGGCTTATACATTTTGCATCACAGTGAGCAGCCATTTCTAAGAGGCAGGAGCAACAGGAACTCGAACAGGAACTATCGCCTGGGCAGCGAAGAAGCTGGGTATACTGTGGGGTGCATTTTCTGTCACCACATCACTGAAGGAGACACCTCTGAATTCTACATCTTGGGGACAGACTGAGACAGCCTGGGGCTGACTTCAGTCACAGCACTGGTGACAGCATCGCCGTCCCAACTCCAATCCAATCCCTGCTAATCTCACAGAGGGGCCTCACACAGGACTTTGCTATCCTGTGTCCTTGGTCCTTGCCCCAGCCTGACAGAAATCCCGGTCCAGTTCTCTGGGTGAGGCCCACACTCTCCGTGGCCTTGATGGGGCTGCAGCACCCCTTGGGGCGCCCTGTCACATCTCCACTTTCAGGTTAGTGAATAAATTTAATTAATACAACATCTTTTTTCACTTCCAGTATTATTTTTCTTTTAGTAAGCACTGTCAAAGTAAAAGCTTCTTTTATACCACAAGGTTCTCCTCACACTCTCTCTCCCCATTTTACTTGGCTCTGTCCTCTCAAGCAGCTGACGAGATTTCCCTTCACCTGAAAGTTTATCTTCCCCATAAAACTAAAGGGAAGAAGAACACTCACACTGAGCGCAGACGATAGCGTCTAATTACATCAATTCAGCATCTGCAGCCACCAGAAATTCTGGCTGCAAAACCTATGTGCTTGTTAGCCGCACATGACGACAGCCGTGCCCTCAGTAATTCCACACCTGTAGGCTTTACTGTGCACTGAGCTGCTTCCTACTTGGACTCAGACTGAACTAATGTGTACCTATGAACTCTTAGCTTGTGTTATATAAGAAAGAGTAAAATATTTCTAAATCATTTACTTTTAGCTTTTCAACATCTCTTATTAGTTACATGTACCATGAGGATAATGCTACCTGCTTTTTATTATTTTGTTGTTGTTGTTTTGTTTTGTTTTTCTGTCTTTTTGAGACAGGGTCTCACTATGCAGTTTAGGCTGGCCTTAAGCTCACTTTGTAGCTCAGGCTGGTCTCAAACTCACAGCAGTCCTCTTGCCTCTGCCCTGTAAGTGCTGGGATTACAGGTGTTTGCCACAATGTCCAGCTTGCTTTTTGTGCTTAATAATGTAGAGAAATGTTGAGAGAGAGAGAGAGAGAGGAGGGAAGCAGAGGGGAGCGGAGGGGAGAGAGAAATCATTTTGAACACTTGAAAAAATGATGGTCTACATTATGCATTATTAAAAGTTAGCCAAATAGCTCAGTGGATTAAAGTGCCTGCTTAGGCAGACGCAGCAGCCGGGGTTTGATCCCCAGTGTGCTGAGCCAGCCCCCACCCTGGGGTGTGCTGAGGTGGTGATTGAGACTGGGTGTGGTGGCACATGCCTATAATCCCAGCTCTTGGGAGACAACACAGGTGGATCACTACGAGTCAGATCTATGTAATAAGACTCTGTAGACACTGTCCTAAAATACAAAAAAATAGTAATAATGCATTATTGCTGGGCATGGTGGCACACATCTGTAATCCCAGCACTCAGGAAGCTGAGGCAGGAAGATCATTTCAAGTTTGATACCAGTCTGGGTACAAAGTGAACTTAAGACCAGGCTGAGTTACACAGAGACCCTGTCTCAAAAAGAAGAAAAAATAAAAAAATAAACATGAATAAAGCTTTAGAAGAGTAAATAAATAATATACTCTTTGTTCTCTTTCTAGAGAAAAAACAGAAACTATTTCCGGATTTTTTTTTGTACCAGGAATCAAACTTAGGACCTTGTGTTTGTTAGGCAGATACTATGTCACTAAGCCCCAATTTCTGGATAGTTCAGAATGTATTTACACAATCATTTTTAAAAAAGACAATCCAGCTGGGTATGGTTGTGTACACCTGTAATCCCAGCACTTAGGAGGTTGAGGCAGGAGGATAGTTGTGAGTTTGAGACCAGCCTGGGGTACAAAGTGAGCTCAAGGGCAGTCTGAGCTGTATAGAGAGTAGTCTCTATCTATAAAAAGACAAAGTAAAACAAATAATAAAAATGAAATGAAATAAAAAGCCCAGTTCCTTGCTATGGGCAGTGAGACTGGGTCTGTAGCCTTGTCCAGGGCCACTGTCCACTGTCAGGAAACGCTCACTCTGCACCACCATGTGTGAGTGCTGATCCCTGGTGCACGGTGCCAGCCCTGCCCCCAGGACGTGCTCAGACATCAACTGAGACCGGGCGTGGTGGTACAGCCCCGTGATCCCAGCGCTTGAGAGGCTGAAGACAGGAGGATCACTATGAGTCCGATCTGCACGAAGTGAGACTCTGAACACCCTGTAGACCCTATGCCAAATACATTAAAAAATATAATAATAAAAAATAAAATAAAAGGAAGCACAGGGCCAATGAGATAGCTCAGTGGACAAAGCACCTGCTTTGGCAAGTGCAGGGACCGGGGTTTGAGGCCCACCCCCAGAGATTGCTGAGCCAGTGACAGAGTTGGGGCATGGTGGCTCATGCCTGTAATCCCAGTGCTGGAGAGGCTGACAACAGGAGGATCACCACAAGTCTGAGCTGCATAGTGAGACACTGCAATAACCAAATACGTTAAACAAACAAAAAAACCAAAAAAACCCCAAAAACCAAAAAACGGACCAAACAGAGAAAACATAGGCAGGGACGAGACCTCAAAGGTTCCAACTGAGAAACTGAGAGCTGATCTAATTAAACAACAATAGCAGCTGCACCCAGACTTCTGGTGGTCGGTTCTTTCCGTCGCCACTTGGAGGGATACAAACCCACTTGGATCTAGAGCAATTTCCACCCCGCTTCATGCAACAGCTGTGTCTCTGGGAGTGCTGGCATCAAACGCGTTTCCCCCAGGAAGGCACGCGCAGCCCTGCCCGCACTGAGACCCAGGCAGCGCCGAGACTTCACCCCGTTATGCTTTCCTATACAAGATCAGCTGACATGCTGCAAGTCACTTCATAAAGGCTCCCGGTCGTTGTCTGGGTTATACAGCCTGAAATGCAGACGCCATGATCTGGAAAAGCTCCGACAAGCTGTGCTTAGCTCTACTCCGGCTGCTTACTCCAGTTTCAGTGTCTGATAAAAGAGCAGCAGCTCAAGACAGCAACTCCAGCGGCAGGTGGACGCCACCCTCCCACCCTAGGGCTGCCCCGCACTCGGGATAAGACTCTGGTGAGCTTCCGAGCAGACGCGCCCTTGACTGAGAGTGTCTACACGTCTGGGATTCAAGATACTAGGTTAACCCACTTTTACTTTTTAATTTTTTGAGACAGGGTTACACCGTGTAGTTTAAGCTGGCCTTGGATTCACTTTGTAGCCCAGTCTGACCCCAAACTCAAAATGATCTTCCTGCCTCAGCCTCCTGAGTGCTAGGATTACAGGTTTGCACCACCATGCCCGGCTTGATAATTAATCTACTTTTAGATAGCTTTAGCTACCAGAATCGACAGAAGGACATATGTCCCTTTCCATAGAATAACTTTAAAAAATTCTGGTAAATGAAAGACCAAATAATCCAATTTATTTCTAAGTATGACAGAAAGCAAAAAGGAATAATTCAATATTAAGATTTTCATAAAATTGTTACAATCTAATTTATACTTTTTTAATTTTCAAATTTAAATTCAAAAGTTTAAGAATATATGATTATGATTCTTTATGATTATAGCTTCTTAAAATTCAACCAGTATTGTGCAGAATTATACATTAAATAATAAAAGGTAATACTAAAAATTCTTAAGTCAGGATAAAAATTGCTCACTGTGATGATGGGTAGAAATGGGAACTGAAATAGGTAGGACAAGAAGTTAATGCAGGAGAGCCGGCCAAATAGCTCAGTGGGTTAAAGTGCTCACAAGCAGGCTCAGGAACTAGGGCTTCGATCCCTGGGCCTACTAGGCCAGCCTTGCCCCGGAGCACAGTGAGACAGACAGCAACTGAGACTGGGAGTGGTGGAGCACGCCTATAATCCCAGCTCTTGAAAGGCTGTAAACAGGCGGGTCACCATGAGTCTGATCTCGTAGTGAGACCCTGTAGATCCTGTACTAAAATACATTTTAAAAAAAAAATTACCACCATGTCACATGTTTAAGAGAGCTATGGCCAAGAAGTACCAATCAAACACTTATGAAGGGTTGGGACAGAGAGAAAATAATAAATGAACCCAACCAGTAATTCAAAAATGACTCTTGCATGTAAGTATTCTTTTAAAAATTAAAGATACTTAATACAAGAGCTGGTCAAATAGCTCAGCAGGTTAAAGCGCCAGCTTAGGCAGACGCAGCAGCTGGGGTTCGATCCCTAGCGGGCCATGATGGCTCCACCCCCAGGGTGTGCCGAGAGGTGACTGAGACTGAGCGTGGTGGCGTGCCCCTCCAATGCCAGCGCCTGGGAGGCTGAACATAGGTGGATCACGACGAGTCAGATCTATGTAGTGAGACCCTGTAGACCCTGGACTAAAATTTAAATAAAAGATACTTAATACATTTGCTGAAATGATCAAAATTCCATCAGCTCTCTACAGTTGTTTATTCAAATGGACGACTGAATAATCAGCTTAAAAGAAAGCAGAGTAACTCAAGTAAAGTTAAGAAGTTTAGAAGCACTAAATAATTATAGCTTTTTAAGTACAATGTAACAACAGGCCTAAGTGTCCAACAGAGACACATGTGATTTACATGTTTTGTGCACAGCTCGGACTTGGAAGGACCCTCCTGTTTTCAAGCCTCCCGGCGCTCAGATTACAGGTGTGCACCACCACGCCCAGGCTGGGTCACTGGCTCAGTATGCCTGGGGACAGGGCTGGCACTGGCACACACGTGGCGCTGGGATCAAACCCTGGACCCTGCGCTTGCCTAAGCAGGCACTTAGTCTGCTGAGCTAGCTCGCTGGCTCTTACATGCAGTTTAAAGAGAAATTTACAATAAAAAGTTAGATGTACCCTCTTGTTTCACAGATGTTTACAAGTCATGAGAGTCGTAAACTCGCCTTGGCTGAAGTGAGAACCCTTGGGTCTGGACACCAGGGAGAGCCAGGCCCTGGGCCCTGGGGCCCTCTTGCCCACTGTTCCATCCAAGACCCATCCCTGGTACTTGTGCCCTGGTGCTCAGTCTGCGTGGAGGGGCGGGCAGTGTGGACCCAGAGCCAGAACCTCACAGGAGGGTGGAGGCTAGGAGGAAGGCAGAGATGCTGCAGGGCCTGTCCCAAGGTACGGTGAGAAACACCCTGCGAACTAACCAGGGCCAGGGCCAGCCCAGGTTCTGCTGGAGACACACACACCTAAGAACTGGAGAGTGCGCAGGCAAAGGACCTGAGCCAGCTGGCTTCGCGCCCCCTGGGTGCCCTCCACTTCCCTCACGGGCCCCCCTCGGGGCAGGGTTTCTAACCCCAGTGCCCCGCGTGGACCTGCACTGTCCTAGTCCCAAGCTCAGACGGAGCCTTGTGCAAGGCGACAGTCACAGGCTCTGCCTCCATCCGTGGACAGATCCTGAGGCTGCTGGAGGTGACTGACACTTGGGGTAGATGCAGTAAGTGCGAGGTCATGGGCACCTGGTCCCACTCCGTCCCGGCTTCCTCTGCCCCTGCTTTCTGACTGCCAGGAGGTACGCAGGGCCACAGCAGTGGAGCACCAACCAGACGGGGCTGCAGCGGACAGAGCTGCTCGCAGCGACACCTCCTTCCTGGAGCTGGCACCAGGAAGCGCACGAGTCCAGCTCTGGCTGGGGTCACAGGGGGTGAGACCCACCTCTGCAGCCCACTATGGTTCACCTGGCACCTTCATACAGCTTCAGCTAAGTCACTACTGGGTCACAGAGTCCCCTGGCCTGGGTTGGATGCCCAAATAGGTCCATGGCACCCACGGAGGTGCTGATTGCCACGCCGACCTCGGGAGCCCTCTGAGAACACAGCCTGTCGCTGTGTGCCACAGGAACGGTGGGCCATGTGTGGCTGCTGGGGGTGCAGTGGATCAAGGCGTAGGGCGGCCAGAATGAAAGCTGCATGACAGGTGCGCAGCAAGCACGGCTTGGTCAGGCAGGGGCCTGGACCCAGCACCTTCCCACCGGGCTGCAGCCCCGGCCTTTTCTATTGTTTATGCTGAGACAGTCTCACTAAGCCATTAAGTGACTGCGTTGCCTTTCTTTTTCTTTTTCTTTTCCCTTTCCCCCTCTCCTTCTCCCCTTTTCTTCTCTCTCTCCCTCCTGCCCTCCTTCTTGTGCTGGGAATCGAACCTAGGACATGCTGGCCAGCTCCACCACTGAGCTCAGGACAATCGGCTATCGAGGTCAGCACCACCATCAGCGGCCCCACGAGGTCCCCACGTGTGAGCAAACTCCTCTGCCACCATCGGCCCTGCAAGGGGTATCTTCATCCTGCCAAGTCCGCCCTGGCCTGGCACCTCGCTGTGCTCACAGCAGCCAGGCTCAGGCTTCCTCCATGCCGCTGTCTTCAAGGGGTGGAAAGCAGAGCCTGACTCCTCTTAGCACACAGATGCTGGATTTATTTGAGTTTGCTCCAGTTTTCCTAAAAAATCACAGCAGGGGCAAGGGGCAGCCTGATGGACAGGAGCAGGACAGGGGTTGGTGACTGATGCTGTTGAGGGTTGGAGCTGCAACACAGGCCCAGGGCTCGGTCTCCCAAGGGACTATCAGGGAACCTCTCACGGCCAGGAATCCCAGGCCCTGGGCCCTGGGAAGGATACAGGACAGCCCAGTGCCAGGGATGAGGCTGGAAGCCTGGGGGACCTGCAATCTTGCTCAGCCACCCCTGGCCCCACAGTCAGGGGATGTACCTGTAGCCCAGAGGTCATCACCAAAGGACAGACACCAACAGGACACCTGGCTGCCAGCTGGCAGAAGGGAGGCGATGGTGCTGGGACAAGGGAGGCTGCCAAAGCACCCCCCCCACTGAAGCCCAAGAACAGAATCTGAAAGACGTTAAGCCACCAGCCACCAGGAAATCAGGGGTGTAGTGTACACCGCTAACCCTGCTATGGGGGAGGTTGAGGCAGGGGGATGCCTAGTTCTGGGCCAGCTCAGTCAACCTAGCAGGACCCCGTCTCAAAATAAATTAAGGAGGACTGGGGCTGTAGCTCAGCACAATAGCTCGATTGTAGCTCAATCCCCAGTACCAAAAGGAAAGAATAAATAAACAGAAGGTATCCATAAGAAGCTGTAGTCCGCAGGAGGAGGGCAGAGACTGCGCCACCAGGAAATCAGAAACGGAACCCAACCTGCCGAGCTGCACAGGAAAACCTGAGCCACTACACGCGGAGCTCAGCTCAGCTCCTGCCAGCCAGCCCCAGCAGGGCACAGCGCACACCAGCGAGAGCACCCCGCTGGGGGGAGAATCCCCAGTCCCTCCTATGCCGGGTGTGCCAGTGTACACCTATAATCCCAGCTCTCAGGAGGCCAAAGCAGAAGGATCACCATGAATCTGAGGTCAGCCTGAATGACGTAGTTCCTCGCTCGCCCTACAAAGTTCTGCCGTAAAGCGAGCACATGACGCTTCGCGACACACGGCCAAGTGCTGCACTCACTCCTTCCTCGCTGGCGTCACTGGCCAGAACGTGCTTCCCAGAGCTTTGCTACAACGAGGCTGCAGAGTGAGCGGCTCCTTCCTGTTTCTACCGAGACTTCTGACACTACTGTCCGTACTGAGTGCTCGCTGCAAACACCAGACCTGCTGCTTCTCAGCTGTGTCGCATTCCGGACCTCAGCTCTCATGTGTGCCATATGGGACTGCTTCCCATGATGTCCACAGGGCCACCTGACGCAGGCCACGCGAATGATGCCAGTAGGATGCTGCTTGCCAACACAAAGAGGCTTTAAAAAGGAATCAGTGCCAACGTAAGGGTTGCAACTTATTTTTTAAAAATGAAAATGCGTTACTAATTTAAAAATTTTTTTCTTTTTTTTTTTGGCGAAACAGGTGATTGAACTCAGGCCCTTGTGCTTGCCAGGGAAGCGCTTATTCCACTGAGCCAGCTCCCCACCCCACCCCCAATTTTCTTTTTCAAAACAGTGTTTTTCTTTTTGGTGCTGGGAATCAAACCCAGGCCCTTGCGCTCGCCAGGCAGGCGCTGTGCTGCTCAACTCTGGCCCCAGCCCCAACAGTGTTCTTCCAAAACACTTTTCCTTTGCTTTTTGTCTGAGTCTGGGTCCCCTCAGCAGCCCTGAGCCCTTGCCATAGCCCAGCGGCCAGGGTCTTGTGGTGGGAGGACAAGTCACCTCCCTAAAGGGACATGTGGTGTGGAATGGGGCCTGGGCTCTTCCACACACACAGTGGATGACGTGTGGCAGCCAAGATGCCACATCCTGGACAGCTGGTCGCCCTTGGCAGCCGGGTGTATCTGTCTTTTCCTGCTGAGACAGACACCTGCGTCCCCCTCACTGTGGTCTGGAATTTTACCCAATGCTCTGTATAGACTGCACTTCTGTCAAAAGAAACCTCTCCTCTCACCTGCACAGCCCTTGCTCTCCACTGCTCCCAGACCTCCTGGCAGCCGAGGGATGAAGGTCCCTCAACATCCCTTCTAACTCGGCCAGCATCCGATACTCTGGTCACTGTTAACAGTCAACGGAAGCGCTAAAGGGATTCTGTACTATCTCAAGGCCAGCGCCAGCTCCCTGACCGAAGCCTGGCCAGACGAGCGACCAGAAGTGGGAGGGCCCCCTGCCTGCATCCTGCCCTTCCCAAGGGCACCACAGAAGAGGCACAGGGAGGGCAGGAAGTACGGGCCCCAGAAGGGAGCCCCACCAGTTCTGGGTGCACGTGGCCTACTTAGAGAGAAACTTTATGAAAACTGTAGCTTTATAAAGTGGACCCTGACAGCTGACACCGGATTAATTTTTCCTAGGCAGCTTCTTTTGCAAGTGACCCCAGACTGGGCAGAATGCTGGCGATGCCAACACCAGCACCACCACAGAGCACGCCTACCTCCTTGGCGCTCTTGATCTTGGCCAAGAACGTGTGCAGTTCCATGGTCTCTGCAAACAGCGCGCGGCACACGGCCTGATAATGCTTCGCAGCATCCGACTCAGCGGGAAGATGAGCGGCACACATCTGTGGGAGAGGTGAATGAAGTAAAGGAAGCGGTTATAATGTGGAATTTTTGGTGCCTTAAAAACAGACACAGCCAGGAGTGGCGGTGCATGTCTGTATCCTGGCGCCCCAGAAGCTGGGGCAGGAGGATCCCAAGTTTGAGCTGGGACACAATACCCAACATCCACAATTAAAGAAGGAAAGGCTTATTCAGCTCACAGTTAGTGGAGGTTTCAGTTCAAACTCAGCTGGCTCCAAGGCAGAGTGGCACATGGCAGAGGGCAGCCAGTCATGGTGGCAGAAAACAGCAAAACAGCAAGAGCAAAAGGGAAGGGTAGTGGCAACAATGGCAACACAGAACAAGTCTGTCTTCCTTATGTTGCATTCAGGCTACCTGCCCCAGGCCAGGTGTAGCCCTCACACCTATAATCTCAGCAGCACTCACACCTATAATCCCAGCACAAGATCATGAATTAATCATAAATTCCAGAAGTCCACTCCACAACTGCATGAGACTTTTAGTGGACACCAAGACAAACTATAACACCCCCAAGCCCACAAGACACAGCCAGTACCTCTGCATTTTCACACTGAACAGCAAGGCAGCTCATGTCACCCCAGCGTCAGTGCACCAGGCCATCAGGAGTCTACAGAGTTAGGTGGCAAAAGTCCACCAGGAGATGTCTGACAGCATGGGTGGGCTGCCAGGGGGAGGGACTGGAGGTGTGCAGGAGTCCAGGTGGACACAGAAGGGCCCGGCATCTGCTGAGGACAAAGGCTGGGTGATCACCCACCACCACCTGGGTGATCACCCAGCCACATGCCTCGGATGACATCACATACATGCCTGGGCATCACCCTGTCATGGGCCATGCATACATGCCACTGCGTGTGCAAAGCGGAAGGCGGTGTGACTGTGAATCCCTGCGTCCCGACGTAAAGAAACAGGTGACAAGAAGGAGGACTCAGCCTCAGTCACCATCACCATGAGGCCGGAGACTACAATGCTTGCCTGGCTCCTGCAGCCCCATGGGGACCTCAGCAGAGAGGATTGCAGAATAGGGGCAGGGAGCCGGGGCAGCAGTGGGGTAAGGTGGAGGGCAGTGGACACCACAGGGTGACCTCTAGTTTCACTGTCCTTGGCTGGCGAGGCCCGTAAATCCCCAGCCTTGTGGGAAGAGGTATTTCACAGTGCGTGAGTGCGACTCCCCGCACTCCGTGGCCTGTTAGTGCGGATGGCTGTGAAAGGCTCAGGCCTGAGTATAAAGCACTTCACTGCTCAGGCAGGGGCTGCCGACCTCGCCTTCACTCTAGCTGGCATTAATCAGGCGACAGATGCAGAAGCATGGGCAGCATGGGGCTGACACATGATGCATCAGTTACGGGCCTGGCTTGAGTGAAAGCTCAGATGCTCCAAAACCTGCCATTAGTGCAATTACTGGAAACTTACTCTTTTTTTGCAGAACTGGGGATTGAACTCAGGCACTTGTGCTTGCCAGGGAAGCACTTATTCTACTGAGCCATCTCCCCAGCCCTCATTTTCCTTTATTTTTTTATTTTTTTTTTCCTTGACATCAGTTTATTTGCTGGGATCTTGATTCATTACTTTACACTGTAACAGCAACAAATTCTTATGGTGACAATAAAGAGAGGTAGGCTCTAAATGACTTCTCAAAGCAGTCCTGTTTGCTGGATAACTTCTCCCAAGTAACCACAACACTGTCAAACAAAGTCTCAAGGTGTGGGTCCTTTAGTTACTGAATGACATGGGAAGTGATGAAAACCTGAGAAGTATTAGTGACCAATCTCCCCCCATAATTAAAAGTTATAATGCATATATAACCATAT